AGAATGACATTGGTCCCGCCGGAATCGGAAAAAGTTCATTTTCCGGCGACTTTGACCGGCGGGCGGCGGCGGCGGGGCCTAGAAGAAAAGAAAAGAAGAAATGGGGTCAAATTGAAAATTTTAAAATATATAAAATTCGAATTTGGCCCTAATGACCGGAAGTTAACCTAGAAACGGGCTAATGGCTCATTAGTGAAAGGATTGTGTAAGTTCAGGGATTTTTGTGAAAGGATTTGAAGTTGAGGTACCACTTCGAAATTCCAGCTAAAGTTCAGGTACCATTACTGAAATTTACCTTTTGATTGTATGAATAACTTTGAAATGTGGGTGGTAGCGTGAGAAGTAGGCTTAGTAGGGTACCCTAACATGGTCTAGCTAGAAGCAAAGATTTTAAACAAATGAGAAACCAAGCTTCTAATAATACCCTACAAAAATGATTGGAGGAGCTACCTAATTAATTTACTCTCCGATCCCTTGGTTATTCATAATCAATCCACCGGCGAGGAGAAGAAAGCCGTGAGACAAAAGATCCCGTGTGTGGGGAAACCCCGTACGGTGTGCAAGAAAATTTGGCATGGTCGGTTTGTGGGCTCTTTTTTTTAAAAAAAAATCTACTCGTGCCTCATAACTTAACAATGTGGCATGTTAAGGATATTATTAAGTATTCTCTTCTTCAAAAAAATATTCGTCCCACTTCAAATAACATATACTCCCTCTGTCCCTAAATAAACTTCCCCTTTCGTTTTTTCTTTGTCCCCAAATAAACTACTCTTTTCCCTTAAAAAAATCACTTTTTACCCCTTCCTTTTTCATACCCTACCTATCACATCATACCTTTTTACTAATAATCAACCTATCACATCTTACTTTTACACATCACATCAAGGATATTTTTGGAAAGTCAATACAAAAATATCCCTCCTTTAAATCCTTAAAAAGTCAAAAAAGGAAGTTTATTTAGGGACGGAGGGAGTAATATCTTATCTTTTTCAAAAATATTATTTTTATTTACTAATTTGCTTAGAACTTAAACTGTTAAAGTTATAAATTGTACTGTATATTTTTTATCAAAACTACATAAAAAATTTATAAAATAATTTGGAAAAAATATATTTTATTTTATCAATGGTCAATGAAAATACACAGATAAACAAAATTTATCGATATTCTAGAATTATTGTAACTAGAAGTATATTTCTTGGACGGAGGAAGTAAGTTTTTAGACATCCTCTATCTAACAAAGATTAACGCTATACGCAAAACGGAATAGAATTTCAAGTATTGTAATTTCATCTTATTTAAAGATTGACATAGAAATAAAAAATAATAATACTTGCATATTTAAATATAACATTAAAAAATTCTATAAAACAAGCGGTTACAAAAAAAATTTATTTAACAAATAACTATTGAAAATGTACTAATACTCGGTATTAAACAAAAATCCTGATTTTTAAAGAGTGAAGTGGGACTATCCTCAAGGAAGAGGAGTAATTGTTTATCATATTGAAAAGTTGAAAATGATGAAGATCCAATTTTTCATATAATAACGATAACTTTATTAAATTTCGTCCATAATTTGCTTATTAACATTGTATTTCTCATCTTACATACTCTGTATTGTTTTTTCTGACATATCTAAGGCGTTTTTATGGTTTAATTGACAAATTTAAGGCGTACGTGCCTTAGCTTGTCTTCAAAGGGTTTTCTCTTGGAAGCTAATTGGGATTGTTTTGACACTTTAAGTCCAGTCATGAAGCCAGACACAATGAAGCCAGACACACTGTGTTGTTATTACTAAGGGGCAGTTTGTTTCAGCCTCTTAATGGTTCAGATGTCTGAATGATTCAGCACTTAATGGTTCAGACTGTTTGTTTCAGCCTCTTAATGGTTCAGATGTTTGAATGGTTAAGAGATTTGCCTCTGAATGATTAAGTATTATACAAAGTTTGAATGGTTAAGACCTCTTATCTGAATTGATCAGACATTTGCCTCTGAATAGTTAAGCAATATACTAGCTCTTAATGGTTCAGACCTCTTACTGGTTCAGCACTTAATGGTTCAGACCTCTTACTGGTTCAGCACTTACCTATTCAGAAGTTGCCAAACAGCCCCTAAGTATTGCAGTGACTAACAGCTGGACTTTGCGAGAGTTAGACACAAGAGGTCGATCGGTTCTTTTGACAGTGGACACCAGTGTCATATCATAATACAAAGACTTTTCTATATGCGGATCTTATCGTACTTCGTTCAATCCAACGTGGTTCAGTTCAAATCTTACTCCCTAACCCACCCCACAAATCCCACACACCGTATGTACTTATTAGCCTCTCGCCTACCTTCGCCTCCCCAATTTGAGTGGCAATTCACTTTATCGATATGATGACCACTTTAGGTTGTCATCCACTTTATTTCACGGCCTTCAGTTACCTCACAATGTCTTACTCTTTTATGGATCTTATTGCATTTTTTCAGATGTTAACTAGCGGGGAAGGATTATAATGGACACCGTTCCACAAGTGCATATATATGTTCTTTATAGCGGTCGAAAATGATTTCTTAAAAGTTAAAAGTCCATCCCTCGCTAGAAAAAAAATGTCTCCTAGTTCTTCTTGTATTGAGGCATAGTACGTACGTACCTTGCCCATGCATGCACATGGCGTCATCAAGCTCCAATGGGTGCAAAATCATGTCTGACCTCTGTGTGCTTCCAAGGTCTCCCATCTTGCTTGTTTTGTGATAATCAATGTGCTATTTATGTAATGTAAGAATTCTGTATATCACCCCAAGTCACATGACAATTTTTGGTTCATAAATATACTCCGTATTACTTTATCAAAACATGTTTTTTTTTTAAAAAAAAAAGTGCATACTCCTTGCACTATATTTGGTTAGTGTAATTTGAAAGGAAAAAAAGAAAAAAAGATGAAAAATACTTTTTCTTGTTTGATTATAGAAGAAAAAAATAGTAAGATAAAAAAGGGAGAAAGCAAAATGATTTTTTTAGAAAATGGAATTAAAAAACCTCTTATTTTAGTGATAAAAATGAAAGAAAACATTAACTTATCATTTTCTTCTATTATTATTGTTAGTATGAGAACTACTAAGAAAATACAGAGTATAGTATTGTGTAAGTTTAATTGTACGAAGAAAGAATAAATCTACTTGTATTCTAAAGATTGTACCCCAAAATGTATGTACCCAAAGGTTTACACTTACATTTTGTGTTAATGCAAGTGCAAGCTAAGATTGATGGCTTAAATTGATACAAAATGTCAATGCAAAATTTTGCAATCGCATTGACATTGTGTACCAATGCAAGTCATCAAAATATAAGTTTACTTTGAATATATTTTGGGGTATAATATTTGGGGTACAGTTATCCTAGTAGATAAAGAAACACACTAAAATAATCAAGCATGCTAGAGTTACACCAAGGAATGTATCCCAAAGTATACACCAAAGGTATGTATCAACATTAAAATAGTTTACAGGATTTACACTGACACAAAATACTAGTAGAATAAAAAAATTGCACCAATATTTTGTATTTGTGTAAATCATTTTACTGACATCACACTAGCACAAAATGAGAGTGTACACTTGTGTACAATTAGAACTACTTCCTCCGTCCCACAAAAAAGTTCCTATTTTGACCATAAATTGGTCAAACTGTTTCACACTTTGACCTTAAATTAAATATAATCTAAACAAAGAAATGCTAAAAAAATTTGATATATCAAAACTAGATCCTAAGATGAATCTAATTATATAAAATTTATTTCATAATTCAATATACCTTTCTCACAATTTGTAGTCAAAGCGTGTAAATATTTAACTAAATATTATTCAAAATGGGAACTTTTTTGTGGGACGGAGGGAGTACAATTTTTATGATAGTAGCTTAATTCGAAAAGAATACGAGTACTAAACCTTGATTTGACAGATCAAGTAATCATGGCTTGCATCTAGCCAGCCATCCATCTACGAGACAACGACTTAACCTTTGTTTCTGGTCATGTTTTTCTTCCACTCATCATTAGACACATTGTGAGTATACTAGAGAGTACTACATGACATTGAGTAATTGGCATCGAAAATGCTATGGATACATCAAAAGCGTTCCCCAAACATCCCCATCCTCTCCATCACTACAAAAAAAGGCAAGAAAAATTCAAAAAAAAAAATAAAAAATAAAAACAAAATAAAATGAATGGTAGAGAGGAGGGTGGTGTACATTTTAGTACACATTTGGTGTACCCCTAGCATATCCCAATTGGCATATGTCAACATTAATTAGGATATCCTTCCCACTTCTTGTTCCACCTTTCTTATTCCTCCAACTTGTTTTTTTTATCTTCTCCTCGAATTAAATTCTACTCTCTTTGTTTCAAAATTCTCATTCCACCTCGAGAAAAATAATAATAATAATAATAATAATAATAATAATAATAATAATAATAATAATAATAATAATAATAATAATAATCATCATAATCATATGATAAATTAAAGGACTAAAAATAATGTAACAAAATTGTATAGTACGAGTAATTTGTTTCACTTTGTCTATAATCCCAAGGATTACCCTAGAGTATGCTACATAAAGTTAAAATCTCCATGTTAAATTACAATGGAAAGCAAGTCAATATGTCATAAATAAATGAACCAAATACTAATAGTATTAGTTCACAGTGTAAAAATAAATTAAATGATCATACTGAATTTTTTGGAACATGGTCAAATTTAGATTATTATAAACTAATCGTTTATTAATGTTGGGAGTATAAATTGTTTTCTGGTTTATTATTTGGGTTTTGTATAGACTCTGATAAAAAGGTAATTTAAGGTGATCGTGGGTCTGGGGTTGCATTGTTTGCGAGAAAGAGACGATGTTGTGTGTGTATAATATTATTATTACTCTCTTAATATCTCTATTTATGTATAAATATAAAAATTAAAAAATGATATTTTAAAACAACTTTTCAAAATGAATCTCTCGATATTATATTTATATCACAATACAATATATTTTCCCCGTAATTTAAGGTCAAAGTTTTAAAATATTGACTACAAAAGTCAAACCGGGAAGAAAGAGGGAGGAGTATTAGTATGGCCGACAAGATTATGCTTTTCCAAGGATGGAATGCAATGCAATGCCAAAGTTTGTGAGGAAGTTGATTGGTCCTCATTTCTTCTTGGTGGTACAATTGTCTTTTTGAATGTCTAGTTCATCTTATTTTTCTGAGCCATGCTAGGGTACATCAAAATGGAATATTCTATTTATACACTAGGCAAACACAGACAAGTGGTCTATGATCACGGATACTAAGTGCTTGTATTTGCTTGGAGTACAAATGGAGTACCCCATTTCACTATACCCCTAGGTTTATTCTATTTTTCAAGAATGAGAACGTTGCTCTTCCAGCAAACAAATAACTCTCCAATTTGGGGTGAGTATGGTATATTTCGGTTCAATTTTTGTGGTTTTTTCTAAAAGAAATTTCAAGAATGGATCGATATATACACATTCTTATTCTGATTGATAATTGCATGAGATAAACTTCAATTTCAATGCTCAAACTCAAATCTATCAATTGCAACACCCGATACAATCTAATAAAGCTACACTACACCACAATTAACGTAGTTGGGAGATGAGTTGGGGTCCAAACCGATGGGGGGTTTTACCAAGGAGTTAGGAGGGATATGAACTATCAATTTTGCGAACAGATCACCGTAAGTGTCCCAATTGGGTGAGTGGATTCCCTAACCACTATTTTTGAATGGTTGTAGAACCCAGCCGAATGAAATTTGGTACTTTCAATTTAAATTTTGATTATAATAAAATGAAGTTCATTCGATTTAATTGAACACATCAACTTCAAAAAATCAGTACATTAAAGGGCTGTTTGGCAACTTCTGAATAGGTAAGTGCTGAACCAGTAAGAGGTCTGAACCATTAAGAGCTAGTATATTGCTTAACTATTCAGAGGCAAATGTCTGATCAATTCAGATAAGAAGCCTTAACTATTCAGACTCTGTATAATACTTAACCATTCAGAGGCAAATGTTTGAACCATTCAGACATCTGCTCACAAAACAATGAACAATTAAGTGCTGAATCATTCAGACATCTGAACCATTAAAAGGCTGAAACAAACATCCCCTAAACCTAATGTGTAAGGGATGAGGCTTATACAGTGCAGAATAAAATTCGCAATGTATTTGGCTCCTTTTAAATGTTATAAAGAGCCAAATTGTATTTACTTTACCTTACAATAACCTAAACAACCAAATGTATTAGGTTGTATGATGTTTGTTTTTTCTTTAAATTTGATGCTCATTATTATTGTAACCAAGTAATGTGTAAAGTAAAATAAAATTTATTACTACAAAGTGGGTACTATTTCGAACTAATAGTTTGTGAGTGATTGTGTCATAATACTAATGCCTCCAACAAAAGATAAATATACTAATTTGTATATGACTTACGGAGTAATTTTTTGTGATCATGTGACATGAATGTGACTCTTCGAAATAGAAAATAGAGTTAATAGTAAAAAAAATTACACATCTGAAATTACTTTCTCCGTCCCAAAATAAACGTCATGTTTTCTTTATTTGGACATCCCAAAATAAACACTTTCCAATTAAAGAAAAAAAGAATATTTCACATTACTTCTCGTTTCACATTTTTTGAACTCTATGAAAGTTTAAGAGAACATTTATTTCAGGACGAAGGGAGTATAAAGTAACTACACTCGAGTATCCGAACATGCTCTAAGGGCCGATTTGTAAGTTTTAAAGGACTTACGATAAGAGTTTGGAAAAAATTATATAGCATCAAAAAATAAAAAAAAATGAAAGTTTTTGGATAGATCTTAAATGGGAGGGCGGGAATGGGTGATTAACGGCAGTGGGGTGGGTGGGTTGCCACAGGCGATTGAAGAAGATATCAAAACCCTCGAGGGGTACTTCCAAATCCGGAAAATTTTCAAAACAACCCCACTGCCCTGACCAAACAGCTCCTAAATAGTTTTGTCATTTTGCCAGCTTAATAACCTTTTATCCAACCCTTGGGAGCCATTCAGTTTCATTGTAAAATGGTCAGTTAGATTTCAGTATTATCTTTGTGTCCAACTTGGAGTGAGGTGATACCACATCTTTTAACTAAGCTCTAGCATACAGTATGAGATGCTAGAGTTTGAGAGTTAGAGAGTAGGGTTTTAGAGGGTGGGAGACTTAAAATAGACATTATATAGACCCAAAATGACTTCAATTGAAGATATATAAATACCCATCAAAACTCAGAGACTTATAGAATGCAACAAAACAGTGCAAAATAAAAAAAAGGGATTTGAATAGATGACCTCAAAAAGAAGATTTCAGTGCTCCAAAACTTTGATCTTCTCGAGACAATTCGTCATGAGCTGCTCAGCATCTCCATTGATCTGGCTTCCAACCCGCAACTTGTAGTGCTCAAACTTTGACATTTCACACTTCAAAGCAGCCTCTTTGCAGGCTTCAAGACTTCCTGTTTGATTAAATGTAGAGGGCAGAGGATGTTATTTTCTACAATCAAAGGAAATGAGAGTGCAAAACAGAGTTGTTGAGATTACCACTCAGGTCAAGTAAGTTGAAGACCACGGGGCAGTTGCCGATGCTTCTAATCATGGTAACTGCAGCCCAAACATTTTTATAATCTTCTCTTGATGCTCTAATTATGCAAACTTTTGTAATAGGATTTACATACTTCACTGCACCAAAATATCCAAAACAAAGACCCCTACTCATATGATGTTTTCAGATAATAAAATTACTGTGTGGTTCTTTTGACACCGATTTGGGGGGGTGGGAGGAGGGGAATGTGGTGATCTGTTGGGACAGGGGCCGGGGGATGGGTCAGGGTAGGGGTGAGGGTGTTGGTCGCTGGGGTGAGGGGGAGTTGAGAATCGGGGAGGGTAGGACCCCCAAATGCAGTCGGTGTCATATTATGACACTGAAACCCATGTCAAATAACCATGGTGATAAAATTATCCACAACCAGAAACATTTGGATCAACCCAGACCAAAAGTTTACATTCAGACCAGAAAATAAAGATTGGCCCAGATCAATCAGTAGTTCAAAACAGATCCTTAAAAACTGAAGTCGAATGACATTTTTCAAATGAAGCTTTGGGTTGAAGAGAACATGTCCTAGGTTACAAAGTGTCCAATCCATTACTTGAATATAACATAAAAGTAAAACAGAGAACAATCAAGTTTTATGGTAAAACAAAATTTATAATCGTAAGTGCAGAGTGCAAACCATCCTTGTGTCTTACCATGTAAAGAGTTGAGTGATGAGGCTAGACCACACTCTCCAAAGTTTGCGAGCATGCTATCTTTGATAGATTTCATCAAATTGAATTGTGTAATTATGATGGGGTCATTTACCATAATATCCTTATTTGGATCCAGAAAGACTTCCATCACCATGTATCTATTCTTGAACCTCACCATGCTGAATTGGAAACCCTATGCACTATAAATAATGAATGAGAATAGTGGACGTAGTGAGACTGCAGTGTGTAGCAAACTGATAGAACTTCAGATAGGCAGGGAGAATTGATGAAATAAAACGTTTATCAAATTACTAAATAAGGACCTAATTCCATAAAATAATAAAGACAAGGGAAAACATGTATCACAATATGAGTAAGAATCTTAAACTCATATGATATCCAATGCTAACTAAAAAATTAATTTCTGGATGCCTTCTAGAGATAATGAGCATCAATATTTATAGAAGCCAAACAATAATTACCAATTCCTAGATTTAGGCCAACTAACACGTTGCTTACTAACCGTTCCTAGAATTTAGGAACACTAACACATTACTTACTGCTTAGGGGTCATTCAATAGAGTGTATATGCATTGAAGTATATGCATGAGAAGACGTATGCTGAGGCAGTGCAAAAGGATGGGGAGGAGAGTGAAATCTGTGCCCTTTCATATGTCCCGGCCCAAGAAAAGGAGGGGATCCAGTTGACTTATTTACTTTGATAACAAGCCAATGTATGTCACTTGTTGGAAACCTGGGAAAGGAAGTGAATGCTAGTGGACTAAGAGACATCCCCATATGGATCTGAGGTTCTGGAGCACAAATGGTCTGAGAAATCCTAGTTTGGTGGACAAACCTATTAGGGCAGATTGGTCCATGGCAAACAGAACCAAGCTAGGTTTTGCAAGGATATTGGTGGAAGTCCAGATGCGAGAGGATTTCCGAGAGAAGATTAATTTTATAGATGAGGAAGACATTGTTACCTCTCAAGAAGTCTACTGTGAATGGTGTCCCACCACATGCAAGTGTGCAACCTAGTGGTGCACCAGGAGGATAATTGCAAGAGGATTAAGAAAGTTATAGATGAAAAGGCAGTTCCAAAGAAGAAAACTGATAGAAGAATGTTTTGGAAGCCTAAAGTACAGGAGGGCAGTAAGCCAGAGGAATGAGCATAATGCTCATGACACACTGCAGCAAGCAGAAACATAGGATCAAAACAATGATGCTGAATTTCAGTGTCGGAAGAAATAATGTAGCAAGGAAAATAATCCAAGACACACTAGAGAGAAGAATGATTGTGTGGACTTTCAGCCAAAAACAGTTTTGGGGGTTCTAGAAAATGCACCAACAGAGGTGCATTACATATTTTTGACATGATGTGTAGCTGGAATGTAAGAGGCCTAAATGGCCTTCACGAACAAAAGCACGTGAAGGTCTACTGCACACTAAAATAAAGGAGGCAAACAAGAATAAAGTTGAGCAGAATATGTTTAGAAATTGAGAGCTCATATGAATGATAAGTCTCACTACTGGGCAGGATATGGGTAGTGTGGAATAAGGATAATTATGATGTTAACATACTTGGGGAGACAGAACAGGTGGTTCAGTGGTCTTTACATGGCTACAAAGTATCTTTAAATCTTTTGATTGAGAACTGGAAGAAATCATATTAATAAAATCCTCGCATAGATTATAGTCTGACACACTACTAAAACCCACACAAAGTTAAAAGGTTCGGCCTTGCATAAATAACTCATAAGCAATTAAAAGAGTTATTAAAACATAAAAACAGAGAAAAATAACTCACAAAAATCACCTCAATACCACCAACTCTTTAGTGCAATAATATTGTTTTTAAAATTATATTATACAGTGTCAAAAATCTTTAGAAAACAAGAAAACACTTAAGTTGAATGGTTACAGAAATACAAACTCAAATAAGGAGATAAAAATTGAAATTTCAAAAACTCCACGTAAGTTAAGATATTCTTGATTCAAAAGCATAATATACAAAAACATATTTTCTAATTCGTCATAATTCAGAAATAAGTTCAATATCCTAATGTGTACCCACGTGCGTATATAGAAGAAAAATTGAAACAAAAGAGTGATTATAATAGGTTCCAACCTGGTTAGTTAAGTCATATTATAGTATTTAAGTAATTAGCACTATTTAATTATCTGTTGGGTCTTTTTTATATCATATTTATCAATTAATAATTATTTAATCCCACTTAATGGGAAGTTAGCAATTTCAATGAATCCAGCTTCAACTATCTTCAGTGTTATCATTACGGACTGAATCAGAAACATATGTTATCCCTAGAAATAAAACTGATCAGACAACTGGCCACAGAACTACAACCTAAACTACTGCCCAAAAAAGACTCAATAAAACAACCCTAGTGTAAAGTAAAGTACTAATTTAATTTAATTACCCTGACACAAATAGGAGCATCTTCACAAAGAATCATCAAACAAAAACCTTGACACAAAATCAAAGTTGAACAAAAGCTGTTGGCTCAAAGCTGAGAAAATTTGGCATGGCCGTTAGATTGAGATGAACGGAATGAGATGTTGAGATTGAGAGTTTTCTTACCTGTACTTCTGTCAAGTGTCGGGGTCAACACCTGTGCTTCTACCGATTCTTCTTTGAGATTTTCTAAGGTTGAGATGATTAGATGAAGGAAAGCAAATGAACTTGGCTTCTACACGGGCACTGTGGCTGAGCAAATGAGCTGGAACAATGTTCTGAGGTAGAAATGCATGTTCTATTTCTCAAAGTTCCACTTCCCAAGCAACGTGGTAAATGTTTTAAGTTGTCCATGCCCCACTTTCATACAAAAAAAGCTGCAATACATCATAATTGAAGACCCAAAGTATCCCCTTCCTTGAGATGAAGGTTACAAGTCCTAATTAATCGTATTATGTCTCCCTCTAGTTCTTATGTATACTACTTTATACATTGTTATGCATGCATAATTTTAAGGATCTACAATTGATGTTCAATGCTTAACTAAGCTGCCGCAAACCCCAAAGTATAGAATTATCACTGCCTGTTTCTTAAAAATAATGTATTATCCTAAATCCAGAATTGTACTGGTCACATTCGTGTTCTTGAATAATTTAGAGCCATTTGTCTGTCCTCTATATTGGTCTTGCTTGTGGTCACTTGTGAATTTAAGACTATTTTCTTGCTTTAGAAGTACCAAAAATACAACAGATCGCATCAGTTCTCCATACATTGAAATGTTAGTTGAAGATTGCTAATTGAACAAATAGGGAAAATTCTTGTTACACATATTACATATATAGAAGCATGTACATTGATTATTAAAAAAGGGGTTATTATTACTCTGTTACACACAGTTAATCAAAGATGTCTGATTGTACAGGAATAAAGCATTTCAGTAATTTCACATTTGAAGCTTTAAATTCTTGGGCATCGAGATTCGTAAAACGAAATCTGGTGGGAGAAGGGATGTCAGCACAAGTCTTTAATGGTAATGGAACCAAACAAGTAGCTATCAAAAGCGAATCTAACAGGCAAAAATGAAAGGTATGCTTTACTTTCAAAAAGGAGCAACTAGTGAGATTTAAGCATCCAAACATCATCAACTTAATAGGAGATGCCGAGTGCCCAAACCATTTATATCTTGTACTCGAGTATGCGCTGGCTATCACCAAGGCGCTCAAAGGTAATTTCAATCCCTAAATTTTTATTAGGTGGAGTTTACAGGGAAGTTGGAGTGTGTGCGTTTCAAATGTTGTTTTGGATTTGTTACAAATACACTCTCTTGGAGGTTTAATGCTTTTGTTGATTTTAAATGCAATAGGGCAAGAAAGAAATGTGTAAGAGTAACCTGTTTAGTTTGTTTGGAACAGGTATGGATTGGAACAACACCCTTAATGCTATAAAGGGGATTGCAGAAGCAATAAAATTTCTCCATACCTCAAACCCTCCTATGGTACATGGAGATCTAAAGTTAGAAAGTATTCCATACAATGTAATTCAACCTATCCGATTTACTTTGTGCCATATATCATCATTATTACTAAAAGTGATGTAAGAGATAATTATTCAGGATGTTCCTAAATTGTGCGATTTTGTTGGAGTTGGTGAAGAAGGTACAACGGCATTCGAGTACACACCACAGCATACATCAAAACCATATATAGGTATTGTCTTAACTCTGTGTAAGAATTGATAAGACTCGAGTAATATAGTCGCAACATCCACAACCTCACTCGAATACGTGTTTTTTGTGTTTTCTTTACATGACAACAGATAAGAAGAACAGGAAAGAAGATATTTTTGCACTAGGGACAATAATATTATGCCTATTGAGCCGAACAAGTAAACAAAAAGATATTGGAGAAATACACAAGAATAACTATATCAACAAAAGGTTCAAAGGAATTCATGAAAGGCTTAAAGAATCGTGAAGAGGATATAGTGACGATGAAGGAGATGGATCGTCAAGCTTGCCCTACAATGTTGTGAACAAGAGAAAAAGGAAAGGAACACAAGAAGGATAAGAAGATGAAAGGAAAAAAATGAAGCAAAGAGAACTGAATGTATATTTAGAAGGAAAATTCAATAGCTAGTTTATCTCTGTTAAAGTTGATCAATATGATTGGTGGAGTGAATGATTCTATGACTACCTTTAAACAAAGAAAGTGTTTGCTAATTTTATTTGTTATTTCTTCAAAAAGAAAGATATGTTAATATCTGTTGAGATGCTGCTTAGTAGAAAGAAACTGGTAAGGCTTCTGCAACACCAATAATAAAATAAAAGAATGGATAGATTTAAAAAATTGTTTACCATTATGAAGCCCCACCCCTTGTCTCATTATCTCTCAAATGTCAAACTTCTCTTTTGTAGTTCTATATAAAACCAAACAGCATAAATAAAATGATGGATCTTGGATGTTCCAAAATAGGGGGATAATTTAAGTACTTAGGGGCTACCATGTGTACAAAAAAGTTGAAGGAGCATTGTGCTGAGCTGATTGAGCACTTTGACAAATGTCGTAACTAATGGTACAGTATATACTCTTATCAATTTGTATGCACATTATGGCAGCTGCCAAAATCTGTTATTAAATTGCTCAATCAAAGGATGTCCAATACTGTAGAAAATTGCTCACGAATGACGCAAGTTTTGTCGAAATAACATTCAGGTTTCTCTATTTTCCAGAAAACAACGAAAGTCCTTACATTTTGTTGTAATGATTGGGAAGAGACATTCCATCCAATATTTCATCCATAAGCATCAATAAATGTGTTTTTCTGCTATTTTTTCCTTAATGTTTTATGGTAATACTTTGTACGGAATAACGAAGAATGTGCCTCACTCTTTCTCTAACGTTTCCATCCTTTAGATACTTAGCCCTCATAAAGTTACTCTATATCCCTTCCTTAGTCTCAACCCTCCACCATAGCTTCATTAAGTAAGCCTCTTGCACATCCTCCAAAGATCTAATCCCCAAACCTCTTGCTTCTTTCCTCACGATACATCCTTCCATACCTTCCAATGATACTTTGGCTTATCATCTTTAAAACCCTAAAAGAATATTGGACATTCTTTAATTGAGCAGTTTAATCATAGATTTTGGCAGAGTATGCAGAGCCATAATGTGTATGCGAATTGATGAGACTATATGCTTAATCAGACCCAATCTCAAGTTAATAACCTTACTGTACCATGAGTTAAGATATTTGTCAAAGTGGTCCATCAGTTCAGCACAATGCTCCTTCAACTTTTCTCTACACATGGTAGACTCCAAGTACTTAAATTATCCCTCTATTTTGAAACATGCAATTTCATTTTCTACACTTGAACATCATTCTTCATATAAGGTTCTTCATTTTCTACTCTTTCTTTTCAAAGTCTGAGTTCATCTTTGCTTTCTCAAAATCAAAGATAATCTTCTAGTTTACAGTTTATTCAGATTTTACTTATGAATTCATTTGTTATTTTTTTATAAGTAACACTACATCAGATTTGTGATCTGATATGATATCCCGTGTCTTCACTAATGCAAGATTCGATCATTTTTTTGTAAAGATTGGTTTTATATAGAACTACAAAAGAGAAGTTTGACATTTGAGAGACAATGAGACAAGGGATGCGGCTTCATAATGGTAAATGGTTCTTTAAATCTATCGATTCTATTTTATTAATGGTGTTGCAGAAAACTTACCAGTTTCCTTAGTTTCCTTGTACTGTGCAGCATCTCAACAGAAATTAACATATCTTTCTTTTTAAAGAAATAACAAATAAAGTTAGAAAACACCATCTTTGTTTAAAGTTTGACAAGAAACCATTCACTCCATCAATCATATTGATCAACTTTAATAGAAAAATAAATGATAAACTAGCTATTGAATTTCTCTTCTAATTATACATCCGGTTCTCTTTGCTTCATTTTTTTTCTCTCATCTTCTTATCCTTCTTGTGTTCTTTTCTTTTTTTCCCTAGTTTACAATATTGTAAGGCAAGCTTGACAAGTCTATCTCCTTCATCATCACTATATCCTCTTCCTGATCCTTTAAACCTTTCATCAATTCCTTTGAATCTTTTGCTAATATGGTTATTCTTACTTATTTCTTTAATATCTTCTTGTTTACTTGTTCAACTCAATTGGCATAGTATTATTGTCCCTAGTGCAAAAATATCTTCTTTCAATCTTTCATGTTCTTCTTATCTATTGTCTTCGTATATTAGTCAGCTATTATGTTGGAAGAATCAAGGTTTTCAAAGGCAAAAACTAGCCTCGAGGCGGAACGAGGCGTAAGCCTCAGTTCAATATGAAAAAAATAATGCTAAAATATGTACACTGAGGTAAAACAAAATGCATAATCCATTTTCATGTTACGGAATTTCCTTTATATACGCAAATCTTTCAGTTTGGAGACCCATTTTCCACAATACATACAGAATTTCAAACTACAGACCCCCACAACACATAATTTAATCCTTATTTCTAGATTAGGAGGAACACTAAAACTTCAAACTTAGAAGCAAAATACTCAATACATTCATGTCAGTTGCTCTGTATTTGAAATAACTACGTAAAACCAATTAACCATTGATCCCCTCAAAATACATTCAAATACTAACAAACTTAGAATTCACAAATTGGACATAATCAAAATTCAAAAGAAAAAAAATTAGGTATATAAAAATTATGATATTCAACTATCAAATTGATAATGCACACACAAATTGTCATGTAAGAAAATGACCAAATTTCTATTTAAAAGATATTAGGGTTATATCTAACCTGGTTAACTGGTGGGATTTCGAGACTTGGAGCCTGGAACGGCCCTTACGACTGGAATCCTGGAAGTCTGGAACGTCGGTTATCGCAGTCGTCACTCACCTTTGCCAATCACTGTCTACCTAGCCGTCGACCGTCGCTGTCCAGGCGTTCCCGGTACCGGCAGTACGGCCAATCGCTCGTCTCCGAACTCCGTCAAGGTCTTGTGAGCAAGAGGGGACGCGAGAACCGTAACTGAAAACCCCAAAATCTTTTTTTATTTACTGAGTAGCATGTAGGGGTGTTCATATTGATTCCTTTATTTTCTTATTAATTTGGGAGTAAATTCTCAAAATAGTCCTTTGTAATAAGAGGGTGTTTGGCAGTGTGCTACTTTTAGTAATTTAGCTTCTGCTTTGAGTGGAAGTGATTTTATTTTGTTTGGCATGTCAGCTTCTGCTTTTCACCACCACTATTTTATACACAGAACACCGTTTTGGAGAAGCATGTATGAGGTGCTTTTGCTTTCAGCTTTTGTGGAAATCACCTTATCCAGAAGTTAATCACTCCCAAACAAGCTCTAAGATATTTTCCCAAATTAGTTCTCAATAAGTTTTAATTACCTACGTGGTCCTCTATAATTGAGGTTTATTTCCAAAATAGTCCTTTATAATAAGGTGTTTTTCCAAATCAGTCCTCAATAAGTTTTAATTATCTACAAGGTCCTCTATAATTGAGATTTATTCCCAAGATGGTCTTTCGTAAATAATGTTACTCAAATGAGAATTAATAGAGAGTATTTTTTATACTCTAAATTTAAAATTAATTCTTAAAATAATCATTTATAATGAAGTGCTTCCCCAAAATGATTTTTCTAATTAGAGATGTGTATTTGATTTGAAATTTAAATTTTTTTTTAACCTTTAAATAATTCATAAATTATTTATAGTCAATGTATTTTTTAAAATTTACATTTAGTAGTACAAAAATGATTGTTTCGAGAATATAATTTAAATTTGGATGATCAACATACCAAAATATCTCACAATAAATCATTATTTGAGTAACATTATTTATAAAGGACCATATTGAGAGTAAATATCAATTATAGAGAACCACATAAGTAATTAAAACTTATTGAGGACTGATTTGGAAAAATACCTTAATTATTACAAATGACCATTTTGAGAATTTACTCATCAATAATTTATGAATTATTTAAAACTTAAAAAAAATCTTTTAAATTTCAAATCCAATGCACATCTTTAATTAGAAAAACCATTTTGGAAAAATACTTCATTATAAATGATTATTTTAAGAATTAATTCTAAATTTAGCAAATAAAAAATACCCTCAATTAATCCTCATTTGAGTAACATTATTTACGAAGGACCATCTTGGAAATAAATCTCAATTATAGAGGACCACATAGGTAATTAAAACTTATTGAGGACTGATTTAGGAAAACACCTTATTACAAAGGACTATTTTAGGAATAAATCTTAATTATAGAGGACCATGTAGGCAATTAAAACTTATTGGGGACTAATTTAGGAAAACCCCTTATTAAAAAGGACTATTTTGGGAATTTACTCATTAATTTTGTATGATTGTAGTAATTTTTCTGATTTTCATTATTTTTTATACGAGTATCTAGTATCTACTTGTATTATTTATTTTTATTTAAAATTAGACTAATTTTAAAAGAATAAAAATGATGGAGGTAAAAAATCATTTTAAAAATTCAAATAAAAAATTTCAAAAAAATTAAAAAATAAAAATTCATCACTCAACTTTCATTTTGTTGCGCAAAGCAAACTCTTTCTGTTAACTCGCCGTTAGTAACTTAACGACAATTCAAAATTCGCAAAAGTAAAATTAGATTATTATGTATCACAATAAAAGGTGAAATTATTTTTGAAAGACCCGTAATGTTAGATTATTCTCATAATTTTTGCTATAGTTTGTACACCTTGGTTCCCATGACAATGATGACCCGGGGGTATTCCGGTATTCTGTTCGTAAAATTTGCGGTTTCTACCTCCTAATCCCCGATAAATCCCTCCACCCCATCCCGCTCTGACCCGAACACGCCCTCCACCTCCTTTAGTTACACCCCAACTCCCCAAGTGGATTTTGACTTAGGGGTGCAATTGAAGGGAGTGGAAGGCGTGTATGGATTGAGGCGGGGTGGAAGAGTTTACCGAGAGGTAGGAACTGTTAATTTTACGAATGAGACACCGGAGCATCCTGTGAAGAGCAATGTTAGACGTACACCGAAGGTGTACACCACCCACTTCTCCACCACTTTTTTTTTTTTTTTTTTTTTTGTGGGCAAAGGAGGGGTGGCATTTTTCCCCTGTGAATCGGCCTCTTGTTTGTGCCCAAGAAGGCAAGAACTTTTAAGCTTTAATAACCCAAGCCAATGAAAACATATCATGCAATGGTATCTCCGGATTCAGTATTACTCCCTTCAACATCTCTGTTGACTGGGGTCCTAGGCATCCCTCTTTCCTTGGTTTTCTTCGTACGAAGCTTTCTGCGTACCCCCAATTTTTCCTCTTAATCCAAAACCGTTATACCTTCAATCGGATCCGCTTGAGAGGACGATTAAAAACGCTCTGATTGCGGATTGAAGGTATCGTATAATTGCAGGAGTAATGTTTTTTAGTCAGTTTAAATTTGAGTATTATTCGAACCTCTTTCTAGCCAGTTGTCCCTCCGATCCTGTTTTTTGGGGGTCTATTGTCCTAGATTATATATATTTTCCGTCCCTTCATGAACAAATTAGGAGTACTCTTATTATCATTTTTTTCAAAAAATATTTCGATTTCGTGAAGGGTCCGTTTCGTACAAGGAATTGGCGGAATTACAATTGAATTGAAATTAAATTCTGTGGAATTGAATTATATAGAATTGAATTCTCTAATTTCAATTCATTTTTTGCACTGCCAATTCCAAATGCACATATTTTTGTGTTACCAAACCGCAGAATTCGAACTGAAGTCTCCAATTCCGATTCCATGACTTCAATTCCATGTACCAAACTGAGCCTAAATCTAATTGTGTTTTGCTGTGAAATTCATTGTTGTTGCCTGCGCCGCCTAACGTCATATAGATCTGCAATCTTTATTCTAACAAACCCTCTGCAGTTGTTTTTAACAATTCAGTGTTTTAATTTCAGTGAACTGTGTTCTCTTAAGTCTAAAATGGAATGCTATGTGTTCTAACAGTAATTTAGAACAAATTGTTGGCCATGCGTGCCCTACAGAAATCCATCACTGGCATAGGATAATAATACAATTATTTTCTTATAAATCTATGAATGTGTGTTGTGGTACATTCCATTTTTCTGAACAACAATTAAGACTTTACTACAGTTTTATGAAGTGCTACCTTCCTTTAAACACAAACACAGGTTTTGCTGTTTATTTAACATGAAATGTGGACTCTTTTAGTGTATAGATAGCAGAATATGGCAAACCGTAGTAAGCGTAGTGTGACATTTGGAAGGCTCGATTCCTTTTATGCATTTGTGCATTTGATTTGATAAGATTCTCCCATAATATAGAGACTAAATTTTATCAACACTGCAATTTTTCAAATTATGAATATGAACATTACCTTTGTTAAAATCTATAACCATATTCATTATGAAATTCAACCTTCCACAGTTCCGCCATTATTAAGTTTCCTCATTGAAAAAAGTGTCAAATTCTTTGAGGTCTTGGGAACCTTAAGAGTACTAAGAAGATTTTTTCAGCTTAGGCCCAAGAAAACCAAAAACATACTCCGTAAGTATTTAGCTACCATTATTTTCATATTTCTTGAACTTATTGTCTAGCAGACTATTTGTAAGGAACAACTTGGACATGGCATTAGATCTCGTGTTTCAAGGATGTATGATTTTCCTCTTTAGTCTTAAAATGTCCTAAAAAATTGACCAAATTTGGAAACTATTTTAGAAGTATAAAATTTATCTTTGAAAGATCAATGTTGTTTCTTGTTGGTCTTTAAATGGTTGAAAAATGTGACAAACTACGTAGAATTTATATTATTTCACATACCTGGTATATGGAACTTTATGTGGTTCAAATTCTGTGGAATGACAACATCTTAATGCTTTTTAAATTGTGGATGATACTGCAGGCTAATAGGATAAGTTGCTGGTGGGTATAGAGAATGGACAAAGTGGAAGAGGTTTGGGTGCTTTACATTCAACATTGTGTAGTTTAAATTTATTACAACAACATGGAAGATACACAACATGAAGGATATATTCCTTCCGTCCCATTAGAATCTTTCCACACTGACTTGGCACAGGTTTTAATGTAAGATGTAAAATGCTTTACTTTCCAATTTTGCCCCTACCCCTCTTCCTTCATTCGCCCATTTGTCCAGGCCAGTATACCATCTCCTCTGCCCATTCTCTTTTCTTTTTTTCTTCTTCAGCTTCAACCTGCCCCTGCCCTCTGTTACAACAACAAATTGAAGAAATTGGAAAACAAAATCAAAGCAGATCTAAGATGAAGAGAAGGAAGAAATTGAAAATCGAAGGAGATCTGAGGTGAAGAGAAGAGGCGATGAAGAAATAAAAAATCAACCGTCGTCGCCCCCCTTTTCGCCAGTTGTTGTTGCACTTCTTCGTCAGCCAACCCGTGCCCCTCTTTATCAATCACTTCAGCCCGCCAGGTATTCAGAGGAGAAGTTGGGTGGTGGGTAGGAAAGAAGAAAAAACACAAGGAGGAGGAGGTGGGTCGATTGATGATCTGGAGAAGAAAAAAGAGGACGGAGAAGGAGAGGAAGCGGCAGACGAATGGAGTAATCTGTAGTAAATGAGGGGGGTTGGGGGATAGATCATAGATGAGTATGTGGGGTAATAATTAAGATGGGTTTAGGATAAAGTGAAGGGTAAAGTAGTCATTTGAAGTGGGAGGAGTAACCAAATTAGGGAAGTGGAAAGATTCAAGAGGGATGGCCAAAAATGGAAAGTGGAAAGATTCAAAAGGGACGGAGGGAGTAGTATAAAATCAGCCTGAGAAAAATGAATTAAGCCAAAAAAATAATCCAACCCAGGCTTATGTGCTGCTCAAGATTGTAGTAATTGAATAGGTAAAACAAGTCAGCACTCAAATAATTTATATGTATTGGAAGCAAGTCAACACTCAAATAATTTATATGTATTTTTACTAATTTAGAGGTGCTATTGTACTTGTGCCTTAATATGTGTCTCATGTTTGTGATGCGCACGGCAAACATTAATGGCACATTGCGCATCGAGGTTCCATGGGCCCTTTGTGCGTCGGTGCACATCGCACCTTAAACAACTATGACTTCCATCACGTGGTGGCATGTGGTCTTTTGCACTGCTCTCAATCGAAGTGCCCTTTTAACCTTTGTGAGATTAACATCTTTGAGGAGGGACCACGTGCCTACATTGAAAGAGCACCCATGAGCTATTGTAGTACTGTTGCATGTGGTTTGATATTAACAATGAGGAATGTAAAATCTCGTGAACATGGAAATTTTATGGTTGGCTATATGACTCATATATAGCATTGTGTATGAGTGGGATTCTTATTTTTAAATATTTAGAGTCTGGATTTAATAATCAGCCAAAAGTACTGCATCTTAGATGTCTTGTATTGTGAATGCCCCCATTACTTCTTGAATGTGCACTGTTCCTGAATGGATTGCCTAAATATTGCGCTTGAAAAAAATTCTAGCTTCCTTTTATAGAGTAGGATTTTCGGTTCGAGCCAGGTGACTGGGTTTGGTCCGGGTCAGTATTGCAAATTGCAATTATGTTTTGTGCTTCAATTTTTAAATCATGGATGGGCTTTTAGTTGTGTAATCACAGTTATTGGTTATTAGAGATTACTTTTTTCATTAAATTTATGGACAATCCTCACCTTTTATCTGGAATAACTTGTTTCAGACTTTTCCATTGAGATATTATTTTGGCTTCAGAGCGTTGGATTATAACAAAATCAGAGAATACACCGATAATTTAAGCAAAGAGAGAATGATAACCAAGTTCCAGTTTGGGACAATGTTCCGAGGATGGAACGGAAAACAAGAGCTCACTGTGAAAATATGGAATAATGATGTTCTGGATCATATGGATGGACATGGAATGATGATGGTAAGTGGTTGCTGGAACATTTTACAATGTATATGTCAACCCCTATGTCCTTGTATAACATGTTCTTTCCTCTTTCAGGATGAGTTGTTTTTATTTAACAAAGTCGATCTCAAGGGTATACCTAAGATTATTGGCTGCTCCGATGATACAAACAATCCCTGCGCAATTATTTATGATCTTAGTGTGATGGACACACTTCACAATCTCATACCTAGTGGTAACTTTACACTTTTCTTTTCCCAACCAACACATGTAATCTTCATATTTTGAATATGTCAAGAAAATTTGTGGTTATCCCTTTTGGTTACTCTCCCATGTCACATATAATAAGTTCCGGTCAAATTTTAAGAGGATCTATTCCCTATTGCCTTTCCCATTCTTGTTCTCATTAGGACTTTCATCTGCATAGCTGTGTATCTAAAGGTTTGTTTGGATTGAGGAGAGAAAATGAGAGGAAAGAAAATGGTGAGAAAATGAAGAGAAAATTTAGTGATTGATAGAAAATAATATGAAAATGTAGAGAAAAAGGGCAATTTTGTAATTTGGGGTATGACAAAGCTCATAAAAATGCATCGTGACGGCATAAAAATGCACCATTCTCACAATAAGGTCTATTCTCGCAGTAAGGACCATTCTCACTTGAACCAATCCCATGTATATGTGTGTGTGTGTCTGTGTGTGTTATTTGGTAGGCTTCTATAGTTCTATGTGTGTTCTTGGGTTATTTGGTATACTGGTAGCCACTTCTATGTGTGTTCTGTTCAACCTGGTAGGCTTATCCATCCATTTGTCAGCTGTACAATAAGATACAGTTTATTATTGTTATATGATATCATATGCTGATGTTAAAGAATAATTATCATTATAACATTTTCACTTTTTAAAGTGATTATTGTGGTAATTTTTCGTAGTCTATTTCATTATTTTATTTTGAATTCTAGGTAATTTCTGTTGGCGGGACAGGATCAAAGTTGCTCTTGGAATTGCATTAACCATCATGTCTTTTCATGCACTAAAATGGCCCTTTACTATCCGCAATATTAGTGCTACTCATATAATGTGTGAAAAGGTCAGTACTTTTACTGTGAGTTGTCCTTTTTTTTACTTCAAAGTATATGCTGTATTACTTCTCTACTGTTTTGAAGTTCGTCATAGTGTTTCATTTACAGGATTTTACTCCATGGTTATATGATTTTGGTTTGATTAATGGAGGACTTATCAATCCAGTCAGGTATAAGTACGACGAACAAACTGGTTATCCTGGTTACGTTGATCCTTATTTCATAGACAAAGGTAATGGTCATTCCGATTCTAATGGTTTCTATTGTCACTTTTTCTTAAAACTTCCCAAATGACAATTTCTTTTCCTATTAAGGTCTCGCCTATGCTGATATGGAAATTAACACTTAGGTCCCGTTTGGTACACGGAATTCAAACTATTGAATTGGAATTGAGGACTTCAATTCCAATTATGGTGTTTGGTAGCACAAAAATTATGTGGATTTGGAATTGATAGTGTAAAAAATGAATTGAAATTGGTAGAATTCAATTCTATGAAATTAAATCCCATGGAATTTCAATTCCATTTTAATTCCAATTCCGTCAATTCCGTATATCAAACGGACCCTTAAGGTTTTTTTTTATTTGAGTTCATGTCATACACAGAGTAAATTTTCAGAAATGGACATGGTTCATAGAGTATTACATTAATACTATGTTTGGTTCAAGGGATTTAGAAGAAAAGAAGAGAAAATGGTTTTTCCTCACTTTCATCACCAAAATGTAAGGAATTTTGTTTTCCCTCTCATTAGTCTTTTTTGCCTTCTTATTTTCTTTTTTTTCCACTTTTCGTTTCTTTTCTTCTCTAACCAAACAAGAAAAATGTTTTCTTTCTCATTTTCTTTTCATTTCCTTCTCAAATTCCCTGAACCAAACATAGTGTAAGAGTCCTTTGTATGGGAATCATTGTGTGGTGATAACTAGAGGTTTGAGTTTAAGATGAGGCGATTATCTTAGATCATTGTTGTAGTTTCTCTTTGAGACACTTCTGCCAATATATTAATTAGGACAATATATTACTCCGTAATTAGGAATAGATGGTCCACATTAATGTAATTAGATAATGTCTAAGGATTCGTTTGGTACACAAAATTAGAATTCATTTGGATTTGAAATTCTATGGAATTGAATTGGATGGAATTTTACGCTACCAATTCCAAATCCACATATTTTTGTGCTACCAAACAACAAAATTGGAATCAAAGTCTCAAATTCTAATTCTATGGCATGAATTTCGTATACAAAACGGAGCCTTATAGTTTTGCTTGTTGGTTTTTCACATGAGATGACAAATGAATTTAATCACCGAAGAATGAAAGTTTTAAGTCTTTTTATTCTTTGATAAGATTAAATTTTTTTTTTTATCTAAAATGCCTTTTAATTATTCATGGAACAAGAAGATAACCAATGCACATGCTCGAGATCTTCGTTCTCAATTCGTCTTCTTCATTTAGTTCTTTGCCCTTCTCCCCCATTTCTTTCTAATGTACTATGTTATTAAGTAGGTGCATTATTTGACACGCGTTTTTTTAATTAAAAATTTGCATTAATCTTGAGCAAACAGGGAGTTGTTCAGAAAAAACCGATGTCTATGCTTATGGAGTTTTACTGCTCGGTTTGATAACCAAGAGAGTCTTCAATGATGAGAAGGATGAAGATCCCGATTTTCTTCGCAAGTGGGCTGAAAAAGAGTTCAATGGGAAGAGAAAACCTGGCACAAGAAGGCCTACACTTGTTGATCTAAGCTTAAAGTCAGATGTGCATTTTGATCCAAAGGATGGCCACCGAATTACGCTCTTGGCTATGCAATGCATCAAGTATGATCCCGATGATCGCCCCGAAATGGATGAAGTAGTTCGAACACTTCAGGGTCTAAATGTGGTTGAAAATCACATCAATGAAAGTGTTCTCAATGAGGCTTTGGAAAGACATTTGTCAAAGGCTTGATGTTATTCAAAGAAAGAAAGACTAAATAGTAGCATATAGAAAAAGAATCTTTCAATTGTATCTCCAAAATAAGACATATCATGTCAATAAAACTCCAACGAATAATACAAAAAATCACTATGAAATATCAATATAATATTGTCACATTTACAAAATTGTAGTTTTATTTTGGAGATGAAAACATGTTACTTTCATTTTGGGTATAAAGGCTACTCGTATATTTTTGGTGCATTTTTTATTATTTCAAAGGCCTATTCTCATCTGCCTAATCAATGTGTCTGTACTACGTAGTTTAAGTCTTGAACCTTGCTGTTTATAGATTGGCATCGCCTTATAAAATTAATGACTTTTTGTGATTTCTTGATCCTTTAGGGCATGTTTCCTACAAATTATTTTTTTAGTTTATTATTTATTTTTGTTAAAATCAGATTCGATCAAATCAAATACATCTTCAATTTATAAATTGAATTATAATCAGATCAAATATGAAAATTTGGAAAGTCCTTGACAATCCAAAAAAATAAAAATAAATCTTTGACTAAATACACTTGGCTAGAGTGCTTGATTCAAAGAAATTAATGTAATCTTCATCATATCAAATTAAATTGTCTGACATCAAGACACTCAAGTCAAATGTATTTAGTTAGTTGTATTCCAAGGTTAGTTACTCACAAGTAATGTACTTTGCCTCAACTCCCATATATTTGTCCCGGATTCCTGATTTTTTATTCTCCTGTGTGGGAAAAGGAGTCATCAAATTTCCTGCCCAAACCATATATACTCTCTTTATTTCTGCAAATTCCAATAATCAACCTTTTCCTGGTCCAAGTCCCATACATCTAACCAGATCAGGCATGCAATGGACAAAATTCATGTCAGCACCTATAACTTTTTATACTCGTTGATTTATACTTTTTATGAAAGACAATGTAAACGTCCAATGATTTCTCTATACAAAGTAACACTATATAGGAACACTCCATATATATGTACCATGAAATAAATCATTTTTTCACTAACATACAACTCTTAAATCTTATCTAGGTTGAAAAGAGATTTGTGAAACACTAGCAATTGAGGTATAATCACTTGCTTTGAGTGGGAAAGATGGGGCGGCGTCCCAACTATCATTTAGCTCCATGGTTTTTTCGTCAACGAAGGGAGGATTCGTCGGCGTGGGCAAATCCTCCTCCTTCTTAGCTAGCATTTGTAATACCCTCGACATGGATGGCCGTAGCGAAGCCGCCTCTTGGGTGCACAACAACCCTATGTGGACCACTCTCAACACCTCATCTTCAACATCAATGTTGTGGTAGTTATGCAGCATCAGGTTCGGGTCGAACAGCTCCTCCACTCTCCTTTGTTGAAAATGCTTCCATGCCTATGATGCAAGAGTAAAACATATGACCTTGAAACCTCGAGTCGTAATATGACCCGAAGCACCTACGGTGCTCCGTTGGTAAAATTGATGGTTCTTACCCTCCTAACCCCCTGCCCCCCTCTTGATTCGACGATTTGGGCAGCCCAAATTGGCAATTCAGGGGCAGTGGGGTGCAGGGGTGGGGTGAAGATGCTCGGCCATAATATGACCCGAGGTTTCAAGGTCAAAAGATCTTTGCCCGACCAAGAAACATAAAAATAAATCAATGTTGTTTTTTTTTGGAAACATAGTCTTTTACCCTTTTTGAGGAAAGAAATAGTGGCTAGAACTCAAAAAAAAACAAAGATTGGAGGCTTTTCAACGTACAATATTCACCAAGCTGTCTGTGTACTCGGCGGCTTTGCTCCTGTTATTCTGTCTCCCAGTGACTATTTCCAGCAAAACTACACCGAAGCTATAAACATCGGCTTTTTCAGATAACTGTCCATGTGCAAGATACTCCGGAGCCATATATCCCCTACACAATTATCCGATAAGAGAGCCAATCCTACTAAATTTCATAGTGTTAGAATATAAAAGCCATTGTTGGGCCTACAACTACAAGCTTGACCTTGTGGTTGAGTTGATATCAGAGCCTTTTTGACTAAGATGTCACCTCATGCCTAAGAGTAAAACATTTCCTAGACCTACAACCACAAACTTGAGCTTATATATAGTTGAGTTTGGTTCCTTTGACACATAAGTTATTTTAATAGTTTGACTCAAATGACAATGCAGTTTGTGTGTGAAATAATTTGACCAAGTTCAAAAAGTTTGACCATGAAAGTCAAACTGTGAAATTAATTTTAGGACGGAGGAAATAGTTTGACTTGAATGGATAATACAGTTTGTGTGTGGGTCACTCACAGAGTTCCTGCAATTGCAGTGCTTATATGGCTTTTGTCTTCCTCAAAAGCTCTTGCCAACCCAAAATCAGCAATCTTAGCACGAAGCCTTGAGTCGAGTAGGATGTTGCTAGCTTTTATATCTCTGTGAATGATTCGGTTCTTTGAGTTCTCATGAAGGTAGACCAGTCCTTCTGCGGTCCCTATAATTATTTCAAACCTCTTCTCCCAATTCAACATTCTATCCTTGACAGGATCTGTAAATAAATATTTATATCATACCCTCAATATTACAAAGAGAAATGAAATAAGAATGGTATTCTAGTGCTTTTTACAACATTGGTCATAGGAGTTTGACATAATAGCCGAAGTAAGATTGATGCAAAATGGTAGAACTAACCAAAAATGAACTGATCAAGACTCTGGTTCGGCAGATACTCATAAACGAGAAGGCTTTCGGGACCCGCACAACTACACCCTAACAACCTCACCAAATTCTTGTGTTGAACACTGCTAATAATGTTGACCTCATTGTAGAAATCAGCTACCCTATGTTTGTTGTTGAAGAAGAGTCTTTTGACAGCAATCTCTCTTCCATCTGCCAAAACTCCCTGCATCAATGTTCTCAAATTACTAAGTGTGGGTTGGAAATATATATATATACATATACATACATACATACATATATATGTGTGTGTGTGTCTGTGTAGACACACACCAAAGTGATAATCGATTGATTGCAGCTCCAGATGAGGTTTGCAGACCTGTTACCTTGTAAACTATACCAAATCCACCTTGCCCAAGCTTGTTGGCTTCATTGAAATTTCCAGTTGCTTTTTTGAGTGTGGAATATTTGAAGTTCAAGCTGCTGTCATGGAGGATTTTCACTAGTCTTGCAACATCATTTGAACCTGGACATTTAGAGAATAAAAAGTTGTCATTTTGAATTTAATTTTGAAGACTGTGTGCCCGTTTGGTAGCACACAGATTACCAAATTACCAAACAGATTTTCTAAAACTCCCACTCGGGCAGTCTTTTGTTTTCAGTTCTCAAAATCCAGATTGGATACCAGATAAAGTGCTTTCACTAAAAAAGAAAATTTTCAGCCTAATTTTACACTTACCCAACGGGCATTCTCAAAGAAATGGCAATCATTATCCCATGCATTGAGCTCCATTATAGAAGTAAAGAACTAAAGCTTTTACCTTTTCTCTTCTTCTCTATTCTTCTCTGCTTCAAGAAATATAGAGCAATAACTAATCCCAGAACCAACACAATCACAGAACTAACAGTTGCAATTACAATGACAGCTACACTCGCTGCAAAGAAACCGTCGCAGAATCAGAATTAGACCCACAATTTTGCAAACATCTCTTTTTAAAATAATGCTACAGCTTTTAGATGGTGCTTTGTTGGGCTTGTTTAAAGTTTTAAGTTTAGAAAGATCCACAAGATCAAGACAGCTAGTGTGATGTTTACCTCTGGATGAGCCGCGGTTACTTGAAACAGGATTAAGAAAGTTGTTGTCTGAGTACCTCATGAAGCATCCTGCGTGCAACACGCGGCCCTCTGACCGGGGCAAGCACCCCAGCATGGACTTAGAGGCGCTCTCCAGACACGCCCTACAAGAGCTCACATTCAGAGTCTTCCAACAATCCCCCAAAACATAAACCGACTCGTTCTGTCTCCCAGGCACTGCCAGCTCAGCCCTCCCAGAGCCATTATTGTTGGGAGCATCCGAAACCAATTGCATCACCCCCTTCCTAGCCGTCTTCTGGAAAGAGAAATCCTTTCTGCGGGTCCCACTCCCACACACCCGCGTATCATTTGGTCCCTTATACTCTTGAAAGAAGGAGTAATTCTCAGCCCTCATAAAGCAGCCATCGAGATAGATCGTCCCACCACTGTGAGGAAAGCAAATGGGGAGCAATGTACGGGCTTCCGCGTAGCACAAAACACAGTCAAGTAAAGAAAGGTCCCCATAGCATTGAGCCAATCCATAGTTTGTATCTGGACCAGAGCCAGCTATGGAAAGTCCCCACCCACGGGTTCGCATTTGATCACTTAAGTTTTCCATGACACTGACAAAGTTTGGCACGAAAGCTGTCGTGTTGTGCTCCATTTGATTTCCGCAAATGAGTTTTACTTTTTGAGCTCTTGGGGCACTGTAAGATGGATCGGGGAGTAGCAGATTTAGGAAGAGAATGAAAGGAACGAATAGGATTGCTTTCTTCATGATTCAAAGAGTTGAGGAATTATCTCCCAACCTCCTGTTTCGATTTCAAGCCTGTGTAAAACATCCATTAATCTTTAATCAACAAATATAGAAACATCAAACGGGTTAAATATAAAAAGAGAAGTCCTTTTGAAGATAGGAAAGAAACATCAAGAGTTGAGGCACACCACTACATCAACCAAAGACGTCTTTGGAATATTACATTTGAGACATGTTTGTAAAGGTAAACCAGTATGTGACAAGTTATCAAAAGAGATTTTCAAGAAGATAACAGCTTTAAAATGAAGCATGATCAATCCTTGTATTGCAAGAATGTGTTTCAGGAAAGGTCTTGGCAATGTTAAATATGGAGTACTTCGCATATTATATGTAGGATTCTAATTCTGATTAAAAAAAGGACACCAAAATCTTGCCACAAATAATAGAAAAGAATTGCACCTGTTAAGTCTCACCAAATGCAACAATTTACATCAACATTCACTACTCTAGAAATTTGTCCCCATTTAGGCCATATCAATCAGCTTTCAGCAATAAGGTATTTTCAAAATGTATTCTAGAAGACAGCACATCTCTAAATATTTGACAAATCTACATCAAATGCCGACCACCATTAAATTTCAAAGGCGTCATTAAGTGTGGGACCCCACCTTCATCTACATCTCAACAGTATGGGCATTATTCTATCAAACCAAGACAGATTGAACTGAACAAGATCTTGC